ATGCACAGGATATGTTATATGAACAGAAGCCATAAAAAAGTGAGAAATTTAACAGGAATAGAAGATAAACATTCACTATGGAAGGAAATGCTAATTAATGCATCTAAAGACCAAGTTGCATTGCTAAGCGTATGGTTATCTATAGAGGATGATATAACAATAACAGATAAAGTAAGATTATTAAGAGATATGAGTTGAAATAGCCCAGGTGGATATAAATTAGTAACAAACTTGAACACTGTAATTAAGAAACAAATTGAAGAAAGACCAGCTGAATATGATTTGAGCTCTAATCTGTGAGAATAGTGAAGGGAAAAAAGAACCGCAACATAAGTGTATACAGAAACAACAAGAGTTAGTCCTTCGCAAACACAAAGTAAAATAAGTAAAGAAAAGAAGTATAATACTTGATTTCAAGCTATGCAGAGAGAAAGGAAATAAATGTAATGTGTGTAAAACAGAAAATCAGAGCACAAAAGCCTGGAAGAAAGATAGGTAGAATACAGAAACAAGAAAGAAAATGAATTAGGAAGTAATACAACAAGCTATAGGTCAGAAGATAAATGTGGAAGAATGACCCCAGTAGAAATCTGGTCATTTAAAAAGCATAACTTGTAAAACTCAAATATAAAATGAGTTGGGCGTAATAAAATAATGATTAAAATAGAGATATAGCCAGGTGCCAGAAAGATAAAAGGAGAAGTAGAAAAACAAGAGAGCTGGAAAATAGCCCAAACCCCATACACCTGTCCACTCATTACACTAATTCCCCAAACCCCATACACCTGTTCAGTCATTCACTTATTACACTCACCCTCAGCTGTTCCCCATTGTCATAGACTATATCTTCTCCTCTCACTCACCACTCTGCTTGGCTGTATTGTAGATGTATTGGTGTTCGTCATCCCTAGATCTGTTTTGTTTTGCCTTGTTGGTCTTTCTGTTCATTAAAGAGAAGTTTTCACCTGCATGTGGGCCCAGACCCTGTTTCTCCTCGGTGTTTCGTACCGGGCCGTGACAAAGTTACTAATTCCCCAAACCCCATACACCTGTCCACTCATTACACTAATTCCCCAAACCCCATACACCTGTCCACTCATTACACTAATTCCCCAAACCCCATACACCTGTTCAGTCATTCACTTATTACACTCACCCTCAGCTGTTCCCCATTGTCATAGACTATATCTTCTCCTCTCACTCACCACTCTGCTTGGCTGTATTGTAGATGTATTGGTGTTCGTCATCCCTAGATCTGTTTTGTTTTGCCTTGTTGGTCTTTCTGTTCATTAAAGAGAAGTTTTCACCTGCATGTGGGCCCAGACCCTGTTTCTCCTCGGTGTTTCGTACCGGGCCGTGACAGAAATGCTTTTACTATAAATAATTGTCTAATAAAGATAGCCGTAAAAACCTATAAATGTGTTTGTAGATGTAATGATCAGTGTTGGGGAAAGTTACTTTTAAAAGTAATGCATTACAATATTGCGTTGCTCCCTACAAAAGTAACTAATTACATTACTTAGTTACTTTTTATGGAAAGTAATGCGTTATATTACTTTTGCGTTACTTTCACGTTACTTTTTAAATATAAGCAGGGCTTGATTGTTTTTAATATATAAGAAGTTCTATTTATAGCAAATATAAAAGCCCTTTCACACCAAAAAGTGTAATGAATAAACCTCAGGCTGAAGGAAAAGTAAATTCACGTCTGTTCAGTAGAACGCAGGAGAAGAAACACTCTTCAGCAATAAAAAAAACAATGAAGCACAATTGTTAGTTTATCTAAAGTCATTTTTGCTTATTAGTGCGGTTGAACTGGATCATCAAAGGTCAGCAGCAAAGATATTAGTTAATAAAATAGGATTAGATACATTTGTGTTATTTAACATACTTAATTATTGCAGCTTTGCATCATATTCTGAGTTTGCAGTTCACTGTTTTAATTCATTTCGATGAATACTAAATCTGTTTTTTGTGAGTGGGATGAATTAA